TTTCAGTGGACCTGGGAGTGTTTTACGCACTAGAATCGTTGGCTATAGTGACACTTGAGGGGGAAGCCGAAAGAGGAAGTTTAGTGTTGAAAGGTCGATGTAGGAGGAATAATAGGAAGTGAAGACGGAGGTTGATTATGAATACAGTGGTCTTGATTGCTGTTAGAGGTATGAGGGCGGTTGTCACTTCTCGGTTGCCCACGCCGTGGAAGGGTTCTTCTGGAGGTACCTGAAAAGGAAATTGGATTAGAGGTGGTCTTAGTGACCTGGGAGCGTGACCGCAGTGCCCAAGGGACAACTGCTTGAGGTCGGTCACACACGGCCTTTTTTATGAGTAATTCTTGTGTTAGCTCCGTACTTGTTGAGACCTTATCGCCGGAGACGGATATCCGTGGGATAAGGAGAGGTGTGCATTTTTAGGGTTGACCTTTTCTAACCCCACCCCTCCTTGTGGGAAGGCAGCACTGCTGTTATGCTTGTTGTCTGAAGGAAACACCTTACTGCTGTCACGCCTCTGTACATGTAGCAGTACGACTTCGCCTTCGGACTTTGGGTTTGCTGCTTTTAGTCTTACCGCTCTTCAACCGATCTGTCTGACATGGTAGAACCTTGAGGAACGATTGTTCCAGCCAGTATAGCTCGACTGGTTCAACACGATAGGCAAGCGCGACCATCACGTCAAGGTGGCAACAACGGTCGAGATCAAGCGAGCTATTCCTTCTGTGTTGGAATTCCTTCGAACACTGACTCACCACTGCTGTTTCACTTATTATTAAAATATGCGTGTACGCAGTTCGAAAATAAATTGAACTTTCGGATTTTATCCAAGAATTCGTGATCAAATCATTGAGGTTGTCCATTGATTATTTATTTTCCAGTTGGGATGATCGGCTTAGGAGTTGTCGGTGGAATTGTTTTGGGAGCAGCTGCACTATTGGGTATTGGTCTCGGTCGCTACTATTCTAAACGTCGTAAATAAGAATACTGGTTAACTGTACAGTTTATTCAAGGTATGCAGAACAAATAGATGTGTTGCATTTGTTTACTTGTTCACAATATAGCCATTAAGTTTTGTTGGTCAGTTATATGTACTCTATCCTTATGAGTATATATCAAATAATCTGCTCTGTCGTTCATGTTATCTTACAAAATCAGTGTTATTGTAGTGTCGGTTACTATGTTAAGCCCATATAGCGTTAAAAAAAGAACAAAAACGAACAGATTAGTGTAAGGTAGTGTAATAATAAAAATAATAATAATGGGGGAAACGGAAAGGTACAATCAGAAGTAATCTTTCAGTTAAGGAAGTTCCAACCACTTTTTATGAAGAAAGTAATAGAAGGTTACAGCAGGATTGTCACTAGCTTCTATTCTGAGCCATATCTGATAACGTCTCTAGCCACTGTGTTGCACCATCTCTCGGACCCCGACCAGGGAGTCGTGAAGGACCGACAGAAGCCAGTCGTTTGCAGCTTTCCTTCATACCACGACAGCATGTCATAGACTGACCACCTCTCCGCTTTTTCCAACCAGTCCCAGCGTCGGCAAATAATGCACGACGTGGAATTCTCTGGGGCTATATTCGTAGAACATGTCCAAGCCACCGAAGTCGATGTTTCAAGATGGTGACATCGATTGCATTATCATCTCTGTGCCCGAACACACGATGCCGAACCTCTGAATTACTAACATGGTGTTGCCACTGGATGTCAGCAATCCTTCGGAGACAACGGTGATCGAACACCGAGAGTCGTCCAACACCCTCAACTCGGAGAGGCCAGGTTTCACAAACATAGATCGAAACTGCTCTCACTGACGCGTTGTAGATCCGACCTTTTACAGCCAGACTAACATCACGAAGGCGCCAAAGATGGTCCAGATTAGCATAAGCTGCTCTGGCTTTCACTATGCGTGCATTGGTCTCATCACTGATGCCACCACCAGCACTTATGCAGCTACCGAGATACACGAACTTCTCGTTTACTTCTATTTGCTCACCATCCAGGGTGAGTACAGGATTAGAATCCTGCCAGTCTTGTAGAAGTACTTCGCACCTCGTAGGCTCAAAGCACACCGTACCTACGGACACTGATTGCCATCTGATTAAGTGTGGATCGCGTGGGTTGGGCATTATCGCACAGTAAGAAAATATCATCCGCACATTCAAGGTCGAGAAGTCTTTCTCCAGGCAACAGATCCACACCGCCATTACTTACATCCGTCAGAGCTGTTTCCAGAATGTCATCGATGGCAAAGTTGAAGAGAAATGGTGAGATTGGGCAACCCTGCCTAACCCCAATGCTCGATTGGAACAATGGAGAGAGGTGGTTGTATGCCCTCACTCTGCCTGAGGTGTTTGTTTATAGGGCCGTTAGGATGTTAATAAACTTTTCAGGCACACCCTTCTTCAATAGACAATCCCAGAGAACAGTCCTGTCCAACGAATCGAAGACAGCCCTAATGTCAAGAAACACTACGATTGTTGGCGTTTGAAAATATGACGGTGTTCTAACATTTTGCGGAGGGTGAAGATATGATCAATACATCTTCGACCAGAACGAAACCCAGCCTGCTCCTCGCGAGTCAATCTTTCTCGGGTTTTGAACAACCTACGAAGTATGACGGAAGCCAATAGCTTGGACGCAATCGGAAGTAGACTTATCCCCCGATAGTTGTTACATGAACGACGTGAACCGTTTTTAGAGATAGGGACAACTATCGACTCATTCTATGACGTTGGTACACTCTCTAGTTCCCAAACCTTTGTAAACAACACAGTCAGTTCCGTAGTCAGAAAGTCACCACCATCTTTAAAAAGAGCCGGAGGTAATTCATCTGGGCCCCGTGGTTTGTAGCGCTTCAAGAGTTAGAGTTCCTTGCGGACTTCCATCTCATTTGGTGGATCAGTCATCACCGGCCTTGGAGAGCTGAACAGTCTGACCGATGTTGCTGGAGCAGCAGGCCAGTTGAACTGCCTTTCGAAAAATTCTGCTCATCGTCCAAGACGTCGATGGATGTTAGTGATTGGCATCCCGTCATCCTCACAGATGATCTCACTCACACCAGACTTCTTGCTGCCAGTGGCTTGGATGAGTTGAAAGAGCTTCCGGTAGTTACCACATGCAGCTGCTGCTTCCAGCTCATTAGAACGCTCCGACCACCAGGCTTCTCAGTCTTTATGCAAGCTTTGCCCGATTTCATTACGTAACATCCTTCGTTTGTGGCCAAACTCACGGTTACTCGGAGTAGACTGATGGGCTTCGATGAGTTGTAAGGAGCCTGAAGAAACCCAGTGCTTATAAGTGGGACGTTTCGCGAACCTGCAAACGGCTTTACTCTCCATTTCCATGGCGTCATGCAATTGCAACCAATGCTCATCTATACTTTTCAGTGGAATGGTAGCTAGCCTAGACCAGACGAAGATACCACACTGTCCACGAATAAACGCATGTAAAACAAGCTTTTTGAAGCGACAGATGGAGAGCGAATTTGTATTACTTTACCAGAGTCTTGAATACGGGTCTCAGATAGACAACAGTCGTCGATATTAAGACTTTCTAAAGACACAGCTAACCCTATCTGTTGTCCGACCTGCACAAGTGTGCAAACGTTGAAGGCAGCCAGTTTGAATGGTGCACGTGGTTTCAGAAAAACTGTTTCAGTAATCGTATTCGGTAGTAGCATTCAATTTCCAACCAGTCAGTAACTTGAGATCGTTTAGATAGGACAGAGTTTCCACGGGCGAGCTGCTGTGTAAGTTAAAAAATAAGGGTACACAAAGTGGCAATGAAAGAGAGTGAATAAGTGACGTGGTAAATAATAACAATTTGAATTGTTTGACTGTTAATCGAAGCGTGAACAGTATTTTTAGTAAATATCGTCATTTTCATTTTATTTGTGTGTGGGCTATGATAATGCCCAGGTGCCCAGACAGAAGCGGGTGGTTTTCTTAGGGAGCCACACCCCGAGCCTTTAACCTAAAGGTCTGACCCACAAGGCAGTGGAGCAATGTAAGGAGATGCAGTCCCATGGTAGCCGGTGACCAACAGTTGGTTCATACACCATTTGTTCCTTCAGGATACTGGAGCCCATGTGCGCCATTGGTTCAGAATCAGGGTTTTTCAACTCCATTCGGTGGATTTACTTTGTCCACCGGCCCAGTAAAGCGCCGGACATTCACTTTTCGTCCTCTCGATTTCGTAAACAACACCCCGCTACGAGAAGGCAGTGGGTATGACTTCCGTGGCAGGGGCTGTATACGCGTGGTCATGTGAGAGCATTTCGAGAGGTAGGGGATGCGGGCTCTCCCCGCTCTCGACCATACCAGGGCATTTGTGGGCTGAATGGTATTTGATAAATCCGATGCAATTTATCTCTGCCATATGAATTGTTGTAATGAACAAAGACTAGGTTAGTGTAAACCAATTTATCGTATTAAAATTTCACATACAACATTTTTAAAATATGAAAACAGTATATGGAACATACAATTTGTACATCTTCGTAATTTTTTACTTACAAACTCCATCGTTCTTCCGTTCTTGTTGCTACTCGGACTACTATGTTTCTTCCTCTTATCTGTCAGCAAGGATCCTACTTCTAATTCTTAGTACATACTACTCATATCTACCCGTATAAGTCTCTCATGCCATATTGCTTGTTGAAAACTTTGATGGGACAAGTACGGTAAATGTAATGTTGCTGTGATTGAAACTCTGTGTAACGATCACTTCAGAATTTGCATTAAATTATTTATTTAGTTTATTTATCGGAACACATAAATATTGATACAAAGGAACACTAAATACATATGCGCCACGCAAGTCACTTGATTTGTGTGTGAGCTATGATACTGCCTGAATGCCCATACCGAGGCAGGTACTTCATTGGTATGTTAAATCATAGTTACATTGATACAAATCCTAGCATATAACATCAAACCAAACAATAAGTTAGCCTAATACTTCATAAGTTATGCACTTAGATTAATGTGAATGAGTTTATTTCCGATAAATGATTGAGAATATCATATTTTCCCCATTATCAGTATTATTATTATTATTATTATTATTATTATTATTATTATTATTGTTATTATTATTATTATTATTATTATTATTATTATTATTATTATTATTATTATTATTATTATTATTATTATTATTATTATTATTATTATTATTATTATTATTATTATTATTATTATTATTATTATTATTATTATTATTATTATTATTATTATTATTATTATTATTATTATTATTATTATTATTATTATTATTATTATTATTATTATTATTATTATTATTATTATTATTATTATTATTATTATTATTATTATTATTATTATAGTGAATTATATCACACATTTGAAATATACAAACTATGTTTTAAAGAATTTAACAATTGCACGTACGAATAATTAGTTTCAATGAAAGCTTAGATTTCATTCACATAAAGTTTAACAGCATTGTACTATTTCTTCTGACCAAATAGATTTAGGAGAATTAAGCAAATTAGTAAAAGTACAACTGGTCATATTACCGTTAACAAATCAGTTAGCACCAATAAATGGTTTACGAACCATTTTAAATTAAGTGTGACATATCACCAGTTCCTCTTATGAGTGATAGCATTTAGTTCTCGAAGCTTACTAATAATTTTGTATTACTGAATACTTTGGTAATGATAAGAATATCAAAATCTCTTTTTGGTTCTCAGGATTAATGAAAGTGTACACTGAATACATTTCATTTAGGAAAAGAACTTATTTTATTCAAGCATTGATTGTGAAAACGAAACTACGAATAAGGTCGTTGATATGGAAAGTAAAATAGTCATTATCATAAGGATTTCCCTAATTAATTAATTAAATGTGAGTGTCCAGCATTTATGCTTGGATAATTGAATGAACCTGGTAGGAATTTTCATGTAAATCATGAATGCAACTATCCGGCATATGAAAAAAATCCACGGATATATAAGTTGTCTGATGCAAAGTTTGATGTTGCGAATTCCATGTTTTAGGTATTGTCACACTTTGTGGGTCCTTACTTGTTTCGAGAAGTTCAGAAACGCGATGTCGGATAACAAACATTGGACAAAGTCATTCAAACGGCAACTTTTTTTCCATAAAATATGACTTGTTGTGTCGTCATTAGTTGATACCCACCTGTCGCATGTTGTGGTTGAATAAAAATTCCCAAAATTTTTTTAGGAGAATCGAATGTACAATATGTCATTACTGTCATTCCCGTCTTACAACCGATGTAACACGTGTATATATAATCTCCGTACATGTCTCTCTATATATAATGTCACAAGTAAAAAGAATGTCTTTTCTATAGTCACCCAGATATTGTCTTCCAGTACATATACGTACCAGTGACCAATACTACCTACAAATACACATGAGTTTTGATGCAATGCTTCAGAAATCTGAACGTTAGTGAAGAAGTTTATGAAAACAGGCTGGTTAGATGTAATCATACCAAATCATTCAGTACAATTACTAGATAGTTTGTGTGTGTGACACAGTTTGCCATTACTTCGGAGTATGGAATCTGAGCTCGTGACATCTTTTCTAGTGCTCTACACCTTAAGAACAAACTTATCAGTAGTCAACTAAGGTAGATCTAACACAAACAGATACATGACGTACGGTAAATTCAGCTTAGCATCTCGGAAATCTTCTAAACAAAAAAATTACACTCTTTTCTCAGATTCATATGGCAATTATTACTCAAGGAGGACAGAGTGAAGATAAACAAGTAACTCTCCCTTATGCTTCATATATGTTTAGTTAGTGATTTCTCTGTCATCGTAGGCTATGAAGAATGCACGAATAAGTAGAAAGGGGTTCCGTAACGGCATATTAATTTCTGTAATGAATCACATCGAAGAAATAAAATACTTGCACTTTATATTACATCTGTCACTTCAGGTTTTCCTTTACTTAAACGACATAAGCATTCGAATATACTCTTTACAAGCAGTCACAATCAGTGAATAAACGAAAATCTGAACGTCTTACGTAAATTATACAACCGGACAACTTTCTAAGACGCCTGACTGAGTATACATATGGCTATACAGTCAATTATATTATGATCTATGTTATATCGTTTTGTAATACATCACTTAAATATGAGTTGTGTTTATGGCTTATGGAAATTTGTTCTAGGTCACAATACTTTAGTGTGTGATAGTGTATACATAGATCTTACTATGACCAATGAATACACAAACGAACAGTAACTGGATAAGTCTTTTTGATTGGTCAGAAAATGTATTAGCTGCAACCAGTTTCATAGTGAATAAACCTAATATTATCTGACATTTAAATACAGCACAAATAAGAAATGCGTTTATCTTGGATTAAAAATTCCAATCATATTAAAAGAGTAACATACGAATGAAGAATATTCTCAATAAATTTTCTTCATGTTCTACCTTGACGTGGTGGTCGGGCTTGCCTATCGTGTTGAACCAGTCGAGCTATACTGGTTGGAACAATCGTTCCTCAAGGTTCTACCATGTCAGACAGATCGGTTGAAGAGCGGTAAGACTAAAAGCAGCAAACCCAAAGTCCGAAGGCGAAGTCGTACTGCTACATGTACAGAGGCGTGACAGCAGTAAGGTGTTTCCTTCAGACAACAAGCATAACAGCAGTGCTGCCTTCCCACAAGGAGGGGTGGGGTTAGAAAAGGTCAACCCTAAAAATGCACAGCTCTCCTTATCCCACGGATATCCGTCTCCGGCGATAAGGTCTCAACAAGTACGGAGCTAACACAAGAATTACTCATAAAAAAGGCCGTGTGTGACCGACCTCAAGCAGTTGTCCCTTGGGCACTGCGGTCACGCTCCCAGGTCACTAAGACCACCTCTAATCCAATTTCCTTTTCAGGTACCTCCAGAAGAACCCTTCCACGGCGTGGGCAACCGAGAAGTGACAACCGCCCTCATACCTCTAACAGCAATCAAGACCACTGTATTCATAATCAACCTCCGTCTTCACTTCCTATTATTCCTCCTACATCGACCTTTCAACACTAAACTTCCTCTTTCGGCTTCCCCCTCAAGTGTCACTATAGCCAACGATTCTAGTGCGTAAAACACTCCCAGGTCCACTGAAACCTCGCTCCAAACTACACATTGGAGCCTTCAACGTACGCACCCTATGTCAAATCAGTCAACAGGCTTCCTTGGCTAGAACCCTAGAATCTCGTACCATTGATGTATGCTGTGTCTCTGAAACACGCATACAGGATCCCAGTGTGGTCATTCACTTGACCTCACCTCTCCAAAACATGGAGCCGCCGAGATACACCCCCGTGTATCTGGTGACCCGGCGGCCAGCTGTCGTGGACTGGCAGGAGTCGGGATAGCACTAAGCATGAGGGCGGAACAAGCACTGTTAGAGTGGATCCCCGTTAACAGTCGTTTATGTGCTATTAGGCTAAACGGCTCCGTAAGAACTTGGAAGGATAAGGACACACGTCGTTGCCTTTTTGTCGTTTCTGCCTACGCTCCCACCGACTGCAGCTCAGATGAAATGAAAGATGAATTTTACAGAAAGCTATCTGGACTTCTTCAGAAAGCTAAACTTTCAGACATAGTACTCGTAGCAGGTGACTTTAATGCCCAGATAGGTAGTTTAAACCAAACAGAAAGGCATTTAGGTGGGTATTTTAGTATTCCGGCACAACGAACAGATAATGGTGATCGTCTGCTGCAACTGTGCTCAGACAATCGTTTATTTTAAGCATAAGGAGAGACATCGTCTAACATGGCGATCCCCTACACCAAACCAACGATGGACTCAAATAGACCATATTACCATCAGTCATCGTTGGAGAGGGTCGGTAGAAGATTATCGCTTATTCTGCAGTACCTGCTTTGACTCCGATCACGCCCTAATACGGGCACGCATTTGCTTGCACCTCACTGGACGCAAAAAAGTCACACTAAAAAGAGCCATTAGAACTGAATCGAGTAGCGAGAAAACCAAAAGTAGGTTCCAGGAACAACTGAGGTCACACTTAGGTAGTTCTGAAAACAAAGCTGACCCAGATGTTGCTTGAGAAGATATACAAACGTCTGTGAAAACAGCAGTAACATCTATCCGTGATTTAAACCACAGGGTTACAAAGAATCAATGGATTTCCTCAAGGTCTATTGCACTGGTGGATTCTCGTAAACTCATCCCATCAGGCTCTGAACACGATGAAGAGCGACAACAAAGCAGATATAGGTTAACCAAAAGTCTAAGGAACGACCGTGTGCACTGGTGGGCAACGAAAGCAAAAGAGATGGAAAAGGCGACGGCTGTAGCTAACACCAAACAGTTCTTCAGACTCATAAAAGAAACTGGAATTAATAAGTCAAGTGTAAATGAGACTATCTCGGAAAAAGACGACACCCTCATCTGCTCTCAGTTCATACGTTTAGAACGATGAGCGGAACATTTCAGAGAACAGTTCAGCTGGCCTTCAGCTACTCTACAACTACCCATCGTCCCCAGATAGCGTAGATGGAACATTGAAGTACGTCCCACGACTCTATCTGAAGTTCAAAAGGTTATAGCTAATCTGAAACGAGGAAGAGCATCTGGTCCAGATGGATTGGCTCCAGAGGTCTTTAAGGATGGTGGTCCAATTTTAGCGATTAGGATGACTAATATTTTAGCTAAAATCTGGGAGTTAGACGTAATCCCATCTGACTGATCGCAATCACTTATCGTCCCAATATATAAGAGAGGGTCAAAATTATCCTATGACAACCATAGAGGGATTAGTTCGACTAATATAGTATCTAAAATACTAGTCCCAATAACTGTTGTATGCTTAACAAGGACTCGTAAACTGAAAACACGAGAGAATCAAGCTGGCTTCAGACCTGGTCGTGGCTGCATCGACAACATATTCACCATTCATCAGGTTCTAAAACACAGGCATGCTTATCGGCGTCCGACAATGATGGTCTTTCTCGACTTAAAAGCAGCATCTGACTCTGTTGACCGAGAGGGTCTGTGGCAGTGTCTGTCATTGAAAGGCGTACCTCAGAAGTACATAAACCTTGTGAAGGCTCTTTACTCGAACAATACAAGTCGAGTCAGAGCTTATGGAGAACTGTCATCTGATTTTGCAACCTCAAGCGGTGTTCGTCAAGGCTCTCCACTATCTCTATTTTTGTTCAACTTTATCATAGACATACTGATGGAAATAACGCTCTCGTCGACTGAATTCTCGGGCATTGATCTCCCACCAGGAGGTTCACTTATCGACTTAGTAGTCGAACGCGTCGACAACTTCACTTATCTTGGAAAGCCGATCAGCTCTAATGGGTTGGTGTTTAACGAAATCTCAGCACAGATTCGAAAATCTCGTTCGGCTCTTGCCAAATTACGTCACCTGTGGCGAAGGCGAGACATCCGTCTATCAATAAAAGGACGAGTATACTGAGCTGCAGTCCGTTCTGTTTTAATTTACGGCAGCGAAACATGGCCATTAAGAGTAGAAGACACTCGTAAGCTACTAGTATTTGACCACAGATGCCTTAGAAATATTGCTGGCGTCTGCTGGGATCACCGGGTAAGTAATAGTGAGGTTATACGCAGGGTATTAGGCAATGATGGTTAATCAGTTGATGAGGTTGTGAATCTTCATCGACTGAGATGGCAATACTGACCAGTGTTGGGGATGGTTGGAAGAAAGTTAGGGGCGACAAATTAAAAAGTGGCATCAGTACTTGAAGTCACTAACTTCTAGTCTGAGCCATGTTGGTAGATGCAGACTACTTGGTTGGGGTCCGCGTGACTATCGTAACCAATGGTTGGAGACTCTGGGTGACATGGCTCAGAATCGATCACAATGGTGCAGGTGTATACACTCTCTGTCTTCCCTTAAACTACGAGATTAAAGTAGCTTCATATCTTTCTTTCTACGTACTAATTCTTCCTTCTGTTAGCGCGACATATACTCGATTAAAGCATGCTCAATGCATGATTGTTTTGGTGCACGCTGATTGGCTGATTCTTATCCAATCAG